TTAAAGAGCCAAACCAGTCGTTAAAATAATTTTTAAACATTGGGCGGGCAGGCGGCTTAAATTTTTTTGACAAATGGGCGGGCGGATGGGTGGGTAAATTATGAAAGAAAACCATAGGTAGTGGCGAGTTAAAAGGTTTAGAACAACGAGAGGACGGGCTTATTGGTTAAAACTCGTTTATTGCAGACCTCTATAGCAAAGTACCTTAAGCTGTTAATTAGTAGAATGAACGAAAAAATTTATATTTGAATTAGAAAAAAAAAATTAAAAAAGACTGCTAGGAATATCTAAAAAGAATGGAACAATTTAGTGAATGTGGTCTCCATATAAATCAATCTTATATTGGAGACTAACAAGACAACAATTACAAAGTAACTTACTTTAAGTTACTTACCTACTATAGATAAGTGCCCAATGATGAAAGATATTGAAGAGAATATTCTAGTATAGATCACATTTTAGTCTAGTTTTCTAATAACTAAGACGACAATATTCTTACAATATTACTCTATCCCCTCATTTACAGTGTGTGCAAATTCACAGCGAAGTATACAAAATTTGCGGCAGCATATTTTTTATATATCGTCGAGAATTCGCGCTAAATGTGAATGCAGGATAATCCTGGTAATTATTCGCGCGAAATGGTCAGACGTGCCCAATACTTCATCTTTTGCCCAACATAAAGCAGATGTAAAAAAAAGTGAGAAGCTAGGTTCACCAGGCCTTACCGATATACCCTAACTGGTATGGGGCAGTCAAAACCATTTTTTTTGGATACAGCGCCTAAAATATGGGAAGGGTAGCAATTTTATATTTTGCATCACGCCTCATGAATCATTATATCGTCGCCTGAGTATTAAAGAGATAATAATATTCAGCAGTCTTAAATTATCTTAAATTTATGGGGTAGATATTCTAAATATACACAAGGAAATACATTTACCGGGAATACCTATCCAGCAATAACAGTTTTTTTTTCTTCTTCCAATTTTTAGAACAAGGGCATTAAACAATAATTTAAAGTTGGTAAATAGCACAACCATTATTTGTGGGCTCATTTTAAGATATAAAACACAACTAGCTCAAAAACATGCATTCTAATATGTTTAGGTTGTAGAATGCCTCTATTGCAAACTTAAAACAATTTGGTCATGAAACTTTAAGTCATTTTTAGTTTGGCAACTTATGTATTGGCTAAGTTGCGAATTGACTCATTACGCGAAATGACTGTAACATACTATATGCAGACTAGGCAAATGCGTTAGTAACTTGTTTCTTACTTATGGAACCTTGGTATAAATCACAAAAATGTGAGTCCAAAAAAAAAATGTTCTATTTTAATTTATAAATGCGAAATCTCTAAGGGAGGGGTGAGTTCTGTTTGCAAGGAATCCGGAAATTTTTCGGCGAGCTACCCGACTTTAATTTTAATTAACGCAATATTGAACGGAATAATTGCGAAGAAATCATATCAAACACCAGTTTTTATTTTTATCAGTTAGAAATAGTAAAAGTGTAGAGGATTCACTATAGAGATTTTTTCAAAGATATGATTCAAAGTTGTGCTCTTCACCTTTCGGCTCAAAGTCGAGCCGGGTTGGATAACAAGTGTTAAATATATTTACGGGGTGGATCGTAATCTAAACTTTTTTTTAGGGTTTAGAATTATGATTATTTTGGTCCAGGCCTGACAATTTGTCGGCAGTCGATCTCTAATTGTGCAGTGAGTGAGCGGTAATTTTAATAATAATAAAGTGCATATAGTATAGTTATAGATAACGGATGAAATTGACAATTCACTAACAAAAGTAAACCCGAAAATAACTGACTTTGGAAGAAATTTATCATATATATCTCCTTAAATTAAAAAAAAAAGAAGTTAACTAATTTTGGTGCTTTAATAAATAAATTGAAATGAACACCTATTTTGTGGATAAACTATCAAAATAAAAATGAACGTTATAAATAAAAATTAATGGATTAAAAGAGTTGAAAACATGCATAAAAATTCTTGAAGATGTGAAAGAGAACATTTGTATTGCAATGCCATCATCCGCAATAACGGAAAAAAATGATTTAACTATATAATGAGAACGCGACAAAGTATTATGCTTTAACTTACTGGCTTCCAATAGATCTTTTTTTTTCGAAATAAGTTAACCAATCCCCAACCGTTATTGTAAAATTAATAGAGCTGTGCCGATTCATAAATTTTTCACCAATCCAATCCGATATTTATATTGATTTTTATTTACCATCTATCAATGTCAAAAATATATCAATATTTTATACTTATAAAAAAACCAACTAACTTTCACGAATGATTAAGTGTATTTTTTTTTCTCATAAGTTAATATTCTCATTTAAAATATTCGCAATGTTTATGGCTTAATGTAGTGTTATTAAACAACTCCATTTAGTCCATTTTTAAAAAGGACCAAATCAAAATTTTAACTAAAATATTATTACCTATGCTTAGAAATTTCTCCAAAAGAAGTCCAAACCTTTCTGATTATCTGTGGGAAAAATTCAATATGCATGGGTTAATTACTCTTGAAATTTAGAGCGTTTTTAAAATTGGCTAAATCAAGCCGTTTAGCAACATTAACTGAATGGTTAATCGCTACATATTTTAAAATCCTTTTCTTTTTGCAGATTATATAGTTAAAATTTTAAACTATTGTTTTTTAAACATTACAACCAATAAATTGTAGAGTAAGTTCCGTTCATTAATTTATTATTATGAAATAATTTATAAACAATTTTTAAAAATATCGGATCGGATGGCTTTTTTAAAAAAGATCGGTGTTCCGACATTTTATGAAGACGCTAAATATCGGTGCCCATCCTGTATTAAATATCGACACAGCCCAAAAATTAATGTATTATTTATTACATCATGAATATCAAATCAAGTATTTAGTTAAAGTGATGCTAATTATAGTTTCTGACAAGCTAAAAAAATTATCATTTTTAGGGAGAGCCTCCTTTGATCGTATTTTCGTCCATTTCATTCAAAATTGACGACATCAGTATTAATACGAATTTTTTATGCAGGTAATTATTCTAAGCATTTATTCAATATATCAGATAATTTCAAGTAATATTTTAACAATATTTAAGATATAACCTTAATTACCAATCAGAAAAGTGGACGAATTTAGGGTCAAATGACTTTACGATCTTAGTTAGGCAAATGAATTTTTAGACCCTATGTTTCTAAAGCTTCCTTTTTTTTTTAACTTTTACGCTGCATTTATAGTAATGATTAGCTAAAGTATGCGAAATTAATCTCTAACAAAACCACAGCTGATTTAGTAGCGACACTGGTGGGAGGGGGGTGGGTCAGAGGCTTGAGCTACCTGAAAAATTTGGAGGATCCCAAGAAAATTTTGAAATTGGGGTCATTTCTAAAATAAGTTTTTGATAATGCTTTTTTAAATATAAATAAACAGCTGTCGCAATTTTATCACTTCGGTCTGTATTTTTAAATTATACCAATTATTGGCTTGATTATGTAAATGGGATATCATACTTTTCGTTGATTTTTGTTGAAGCTGTCCAACAAAGTGTTCAGGACAGTCACATAGATTAAGGCTAAAAGGTAAACGTTAATAAAAATAACAACTCTAATAATTTGAAATGAAATTTACCAACGTTCCAAAAATGGATCCCCAGCGAATGTACACATTGGGCCAGATAATTTATGAAAATATTTTTACAACGGAATCTCGCAATTTTTTTCTTAAGCTTTTGAAGTTATGTAAATTTGTATTTTTTTCCTTCATAAAAATTTTAGGAACCGGGTCGGATAACTAGTACATAATTATTTAACGGGACGGTCAAAAAATTACAGGTCGTGCCGAAACCTTTTCCAAAATCATTAAGGAACGGTTTGATTCAAGCTGTGCCTAACTTACCTTGTACCCTTACCCCTATAAAATGTAAAAGTCGATTGTAATCGAGGCTCAAACTAGCCCCAGGTAACGTTTCATTTAACCTGGAATAATAAAATCCTCTCCGCTTAGATGTTTTGATTATTATAATTGTGACTCTTTCTTCCTGAAAACAAATATTACAGTATCCGTGTAAAATCAAGTATAAAGTATCACGCCCACCCCCTCCCCCATAGCACTTAAAGAATTTAATTGCACCACATAAAAATTAATATATGTGTCGCCGGGTAGTATCATTTAATGTTTCAATTAGTGATCTGCATCGGGCCTAATTTTTCAAGCCCGGCCCGGCCCGAAATTTTTTAAAAAAAGTTTTGCCGGCCCGGCCCGAATTTATTTAAATATAGAAATTAATTTTTATAATTACTCAAAATAAAAGACATATGTTATATGTTGCTTAGTTTTAATAAATAAAATCAAATATTTTTATTTTACATAAAAAATTCAATATAAAATTGATAAATTTAGATATATTTAAAAAAAATTCCAAAGTCCGACCGATCCGCCTCGATTTTTAAAAAAAAAAATTAGGCCCGGTCCGGCCCGAACCCGATTATTTTAAATAAAATTAGGCCCGGACTCGGGTCGGGTACGGGCCGGGCCTAACTTTGCAGATCTCTAGTTTCAATTATTAAAAATCAAAACAAAAATGAGACTTTCAGGACAATATTCTACTATTTAAAAAAAATAATTTTTTAAGAATAGAATATTATTTAAATTTAATAAATTTTTCCAAATTATGAGAAAAACTTTATAAACTTAATCTACCCCGAAAACTTAGGTTAATTTAAATCGAATAAACATTTCCCATAATTCTTACCAAATTAACTATTTATAAGGGTCCTCTAGGGAAATGGGGTGGTATGATACGAAGCAAGGATACCTTCTTAGGTGAGTAACTAGAATCGGAAGGGGGGGGGAGTGGAGGAACTCAGTTTCATTCGCTTAAGAGGGAGCTAGAGCTGAATATTGTACTAGTGGAACGAAAAGTATTTTTTAATAATTGTTTATAGAATACTAATATTTAAAAAAATATAATTAAACCTTCCTTCCGCATACCCATTTTAATGCATGCCTTGAGCCGACAATATTGGCATTGATTTCGGTGATGCTGGTCTATGGGACAATTTTTGGAAGATCGACACGTATAAGTTAAATTACGCCTAACGCTCCGCTTGAAAAAGGATTTGCAACCTTCGCAAGTAAACTGCCCATAATGCTTCCCGCTACTCTTATCTCCGCACACTACGCAAATTACCAGAGTTCTCTCCCCGGTAGGGTTGTTAAGACCGGAAGAGGGATCGACATTTGACATCATCGCGTTATCACCTTTTGATTGTTGAGTTATTATCATGTCGATGTTACCACCATTTTCGCGTAGAGATTGCGATTGAAATTCTGATTTTTCGAAAAGGGATGAATCGTTGGCAAGAATGGAAGGAGATTCTTTCTTAACTTTGGTATGGTGACCATCATAATTAATATCTCCGTCGTCTAATTTGAACGAATCAGAAGGCTGATAATAGGAGGTCACCGGGTTAGGTGGCGCATTCTGTTTAAGGGCGTTGCCTGTCTGCGAATGATTCGATTTAATCAAATGATTTATGTAGTGATTATTGGTGGCGGTGGCCAAACTTCTCGAAGCAGATTGAATGAGGCTTCTCATCATTTGTTTCGTGTTCTCATCGTAAGCGGAGATAACAGGGCTAGCATAGTAGCTCTTATATTTAGTTGATGTTGTAGGAGCATCGCTCGATATACGGGGTAAAAAATTTTCGAACGTTTTGAGATCACTAATGAATTTTGGCTGGGGAAAAGATGAAATTACCGAATTATTCAGAATACTGTCTACTACCACTTTATCCGCTACCGTTCGGTAAGCATTGCCATTGGTTCCATTATGATGACACATTTCCTCCTCCAAATGTTCGCTTTTTACATGATAACTTGAGGATCGCGAAGTAGATGGCATGAAATAATAGTTGGCGTTAGTCTTTTCGGTCTCGATAATTTTGCCGATATTCCGGAAAGTGGTGGTGTCATTGAATTTGGACGATTGTTCGAACAACGTATTGTGTCGCTCTAGGAGATTTCGCGGGATACTCGATTCCTCACCGTTCAGGAAGGGTTTACTAGTATAGTGGGTATCCGTTACATTATCCACGTCAGCTGCGTCAAATCTATCTTGTATCGAGATACACCCGCTCTTAGGAGGGCTATTAATGCTACTACTCGACGATTCCCCATGAGAGGTTGATATATATTCGCTATATTTTGGTTCGTTAAATTCCTTTGATTGTTTTGACGATGATCTATTTGTTGATTGATTTGATTGGTTGGATGATTGGCTCGATTTTAACCCCCCTCTCCCCTTCCCCTGCTCATCACAAAACCCGTTCACGATTTTGCCGCCTCTGAACGACGCGAGGAGCCCGTTCTGTCTTAGTTCGAACAACTTTTCGACGCTATCGAAGTTGTTGTTTCTTTGCTTGGAAGTTAAACCGTCAGTGATTATGTGCAACATCGATCCTTTACCTCGACCGAGTTGATGAGCCTTAGGGGAATAACAATTATTGAGATGTCCGTGAGATAAAATCTCCTCGCCCTTTTTAATGTTCGGCCCATTCGTCAAGCCATTTTCTTTGGTCATTTCATGAGTATCTTTATCTGATTTGAACGGCGAATTTTTAGTTCGTTCAAAAATGTAAAATTTTATTTTAAAAATAAAAATTAAATTTTTTAACACGTCAAGAATTTTTTTTTAAAAATTTTATATATTTTAACTTTTTCTTTAATAAAAAAGAAATAATGTTTTTCCTATTTGGTTATGTTTTTTGTATAAGGCTGGCCGGGGTTTGCCCTCCACAAAAATATTAAATTATTTTGATAAAAGCTTTATATAAATAGAATTTAATTTAATTGATAAATCCATAGGAAAAAAAAATCATGGGTTTTTATGATTTGTTTTGTCCTGCAAAAAAAAATAAAAAAAAATAAATAAAGGGAGGCTAATAATTAATATTTTGAGAAATGAGATAATAGTTTCATAATTATTATTTTTATAATTAATAATTTTTAAGTTATAATTTTAATAAAAAATATGTCTAAAATTTTTTTAGTGATATATATACTTTTTTTCTAGTTAAGTTGAGTTCAATAAACATTTATGTAAATTAAGAGATATAATATAAAAAAAATAATTTTTTTTTAACTAAGACGGTTTAAAAAATACAAAATTCCATGACAACGTCACACAATACAAATTATAAAAATGAAATTTCACATAAAAATTATATTTTATCTTAATTTTTTTTTTAAAAATTATAAAAAAGTTAAAATTTTAAAATTTCTCTTACCTTTAATATGGTATTTTAAATGTATCCTCTAATTTACAGGTAAACGTATCATCGTTATTATAACCAATTTGTAATTCTTCTTTTTTTCTTTCGTGATTTTCTTTCGAAAATAAGTAATAAAATGATCTTCCCGAATGATAAAATATAACTTTAATTTCTGTTAATTATTTATATATAAATAATCATCATTTATTATTTATTTTTTTTTGCCGGAACTGTACAAAGGATGACAATTTTTAATAAAAGGAAATGATTTTCTTTCTTCTTATTTTTTTTTGGAAAATAAATTTAAATTAATTAATTTTTTTTTTAAAATAATTAATTTTTATTTTAAACGATTATTATAAAAATAAGGGTATATAATAAAGAAAGATAGAAAATATCATATTCAAAAAAAATATTTCCCATTTCTCCCCTTTTTACAAAATTTAGGCATAGCTCTTCCATCATCTTTTAAGAATGGCGTGTCAAAGAATTTTGAGGATGGCGGAAGACGTGAAAATGAGAATTATGAATTATCATCCTCTTCAAACATAGCCAATTTTGTTTTTTATTTTAAGTAATTAAAAAACAATTTTAATAAATATATAAAAATAAAATACTTAAATGGTTTTTTTAAAAAAAATAAAATAAATAAATTGATTTCTTTTTTCAAATTAACGGATATTTTTAAAATTTCATATTTTTAATACCAATTTTTTGGGGTGGATAAATTTTAAGAAAATTAAATAATAACATTTTTCTTATAGTAAATTTATTCTAGCCGATCGCGCTCATACTAACATCAATTTTTTTTTATATTTATTTATTAATGTTTCATTTAAAAATTTATATATTTTTAGATTTTATTTTTAAAAATATTATTTATAAAAATATAATTTTATTTTTATTTTTTGAAAATATTATTTTATTCTTATTTTTAAAAAATATATTTTCAAATTTTTAATCTGGTCAAGAGTCACGACACGAAACAAAATTTTTATTTGAATTATATATTTTCTTCCAATATCTTTGAAATTATTTTTTATTTGAACGATTTATTTTTTTTTTGGAAATTATTTAATAAATAAAATAAGATCAAAAGTTAAATTTAATTAAAACAAAAAAAAATACAGAAAAATCAAAACAAATTAATTGATTGGTTATTGATTTTGATTTTGATTTTGAAAAAAAATAAAAAAATAAAATAATATATAAATGAAATTGTAAAAGGAAATTCTTTCCGCTTATAAATTTACAAATTTTTTTTTTAAAAATAATATTTATTAATTAACATTTATGAAAAAATAAATATAATAAATAATTATTTCCCAGTTATATAAAATGAAGATGAAAGAAAGGTAAAAAAATGGAAAGAAAGAAAAAGAATCAAAGCAAACAAAGAAAATGGAATGTTTTTTATAACATTTTTCACTTGCTAAATAAAATTTTTTAAATAAGACACAAAAAAGTATAAGTTCAAAATGTTTCGTTTTTTTTAAATAAAAATAATATATAAAATTTCTATTAATTATATTATGTCATATAGACATAGTAAGAGTAACATTATTTATATTTTTAAAGGAAAAGATATAAAAAGAAGAAGAAAAAAAATATATATAGAGCAAATATAGGTGAAAGTTTTGAAGAAAAAAAAATAAAATAAATAATACAAATAAAATAATCATTTAAATTTATTTATTTGTTTATTCTTTAATGGAAGATGAAGTACTTGGGGGGGGGGGGGGGGGGGGGGGTTAGTTATAGACCGAATGCAAGTTCCACAGCTGATTTTTCTTTTTAAATACCGCTATCCTCCAATTAAATGAGACTTACGGCGGAATCCTGTAGAAATAAAAATAAAATTAAGAAAATAAATAGTAATAAGATGTAAATCTTCCTATAAGATATTCCCTTAAAAATTTTGATCAAACTTTAGATATATTATTTATTTTTTTAAAAAATTTCACTTTCTAATCTTTTTTAAAAAGAGAAATATTTTAAAATTTTCGTTATTAATTTTTTTTTTATAAAAAATGTCTTACTTGGCCTCAATTCAATATGAACTTTGTGAGATAACATATAAACATACTATTTAGTATTTCATAATAATATAATTATATACTATAATAATATGTAAAGGGACAAAATATATTATAAGCATTGAAATCTCCCATTTTTAACCTAATTAAAAAGATATTTTCTTTTATGAATTAAATTTATAATACTTTTTTTAAATTAAATTTCCTTAGACCATATTTACATCTCTTAAAATTACACCTTACCCACCTGAAAATTTAATATTACCATCTGCCTATGAATATATATTCTTTTCACTCTCCTAAAATTTGTTAAGCATACTTTATAATATGAATATATCCACTGAAATGATAAAAAAGATACTTAACAATGTGGCAATTCTTAAAATTTCTCAAGGATAGCTGAGTGACTTTTGGCGGTTGATAACCACGACATTCCGCATTCGAGTGGCACCTAAGCCTTTTAATCTGTTACAATACCTTCCTTCCCAGAACACGATATCTTTTTCTAATAATCACTTGGGCTTTGGCATCAAAAATAAAAATGCAGAAATTTTATCGAGCCTACACTTGTATGAAATAAGATTGCACACTTGCAAAGTTTTCAATTTGACAATACATTTAAGGGTATATCCTCTATACAAATACGTTATTGATGCATTTAAGAGAATTTTTAAAAAAAACTCATAATAAAACCATAAAAAATAAGGTCTGGTGATTGGATATTTATATAGAAGTGATGGGGGAGGGGAGGGCGGTGCATATTTTAGAAATTTTTTTCATAAAAATTGCCCAGATTGATAAATGCTCCATAAATCTCTCCTCTTTTTAAATTCATGGGAATTTTAAAGAAAGATTTCGCATGAAACAAATTTTGAGTTACACTAATGCCCTGTGATATTCAACTTCCTGTCAATTTAAAATTCCGGCGTCAAAGCGAAAACTATAACCAAAATTACTGGAAAGGGATGCAAGGGGAGGAGGTATTTACCAAAGTTTTGGGTAGATTTTATTTATTTTTTATTTAAAGATAACGTGGGAAATCTTAGTGTAGAAAAGAGAAGTTATTATTCCAAGAAAGAAATCTTTTAATGCAAACATGGATAAAACTAAATATGACTCCGAATCCCTATGAGACTAAATGAACCCCGCGATTTGGCCCAAAATGTCGCACTCGGACCGAACATCATTTTTAAAGGAATGGCATATTATCTAGGATTTGGACAAAATAATTGCATAGCGATTTTTAAAAAATTTTTTTTTATTTAATTTTATAAAAAAACGCGCTTAATTGATATTTTCTATAAAAAATTTCGGGTTGTTATGCCCTAAAATTATAATAAAATTCGAATTGAATAAAGGCTATCAAAATACAAAAAATAATATTCACTCCCCTCCAAAAAAAATGTTACAAAAACTAAAATGAAGATAAATTATATTTAAAACAAAGTCAATAAAATTTTTAATTTTAATCTTATACAAGAACGAGAAATAACGAAAAATAAAAAATGTATACCAGAGACCAGCAGAGGTACCATTTGTACAGCCCGACCCGGATATTATATTTTCAGACCCGGCCCGTTTTTTTTTTAGAATATATTATTTTTATATTTTATAGATAATAATAATAGCGATTTAAAATATTTGGTTTTATTTACGGCCCGGCCCGGCTATATTTAAAAAAAATAAAATACGTATATATATTTTACTAGACATAATATGGGGAAAAGTGGGTTTATATTTTATGAAATCCTGAGGATATTATAATTTGCAATATTTTAAGAGTATCCGTTAGAAATAAGGAATGAAAAAAAAATAAAATAGAATAAAAATAAAAAAAATTAAGGACAAGCTATTTTAATATCTAGTAGAAAAAGGCCAACAGCGAGAATTTCACTCTTAAGTTGATGAGACTTACATTGTTATATTATCTAGAATAAATTTTAATTATAATTGGTATCCATTTATTTTAGCCGTTTTTGCCTATTTTTAGAAGGCTAAAAACCGATTACCCTAGTTTAGACTAAAACCAGCGATCTCAGCCCTCGGGGTTTTTATTTCTTTGAAAATATAGATCAGCTTTGTAGAAAACAGAAATATATTAACTCGCGTTCTAGATGTGGTGGATTTTCTTCGGTACGCGTTTTTTAGATTAAGCCGAATTGGCCAAATATTTTATTAATTACCAAACTATAATCCCAAGGAAGGTTAAAGATAGGTCATGGCAAGAACGAAATAAATAAGGGAAAATTTGAGAAAAAGGAAATTTTTCTTTCTTTATTTATTTCTTTCTTCCATTCAGCTGATATTTAAAAAAACTCATATATAAAGTCAATTAAAGCGTTTTGAAGACCCTGGAGATAAGACCCTCAATATTAATATTGGAAAAAAGGAGAAAATGGACTCATGTTTTGGAAAAGAAGAAACTTTAAGGAAAATAAATATAAATGGCTATTCTAAATATAATATTAAAAACCTGTCCAAAATATAGAAAATTTTTATAAATTTTGAAAATTTTATGAATTTTAAAAATTAAACATAAAATTTTATGAATTTTAAAAATTAAACATAAAATTTTTATTGAATTTTTTTTTGAATTTTGGACATTGCCTTTATAAAAATAATAATTTTTTTAAATAAATAATAGAATATAATTAAAATTAATGTTTGCAAAATCGCTCCATATGAGCCGACTTTAAAACAGCTTAGCCCTTAAAATAGTCCGACTTCAAATCTAAACGCGGGATTACTTTCAATCTTCCAGAAGCGTTTTCCTCTATCTCCTCCTGAGTATAGTTGGGTAATTACTGTATTTTTAACTGTTTAAGCAAATTTTTAGCGAGCTAAAAAATAGGCTAAACTGAGTTTTTAGCCGATAACTATTACTTTGACCTCGGGGTTTTTCCTAAAAATATAGTAGCAGCCCAATGAAAAAACCTCAATGTTAACTGATTTTCTCCGGCATGCGCCTGTAGATTGACCCAATTTAACCGATATTTTGATACTCACGACTATACTCCTGAGCTCACGATGCTGAAACCTTTATAGAAGGGTTAAAAATATATGTTAACTTTTAGAAATATTTTAAACAGCTGTGTTTTTTTAGTTAGCATCAAGCAGTGCATCGGATGGGATG